TCGTAATCTATAATGACTAACGCAAGTAAACAAACACTACCCCTTGTTAAACTTTGGAAGTTAATAGTTTTTCTGTATTTTTGGTCACAAGTGCTTGGACTTATGTTATGGTTGGTTCATTAGCCAGATTTATTTTGCATTCGCATTTTTTGTTCAAAAAATAGACTTAAAATTATAAAATTTCATAAATAGTATTCTATCTGATAGAATTATAAAATTATTGATAAAATGATATTTTTGGAGCATGTATTGTATGTATATGGGTCATTCTTTTACAAACCGGACGGATTTTGGCAAAAAATGACCTCATCACCCCCGATTTGGCTGAAATTTTTTTTATGAGCTCCTTTCATAAAATAAGAAGACCCGTATCTCGGGAAAAAATTTTGTAATTTTTTTTCTTGGAGATATGGACCCATGGGGTTTTGAGAATTGGCATTGTAGACACATTTTCAAATGGCTATACATATCTCAAGTTCTATAAAAGGTAGAAACTTGAAATTTATTGCGTTTTAAAGATAATTGGTTGAGCTTTTAAGAAATTGTTTAAACAATTAAGATTGTTTATATTTAAGTACTAATATTAACCGTTAAATTTCAAAAAAAAAAGATATCTCAAAACGGTACCCAACATTTTTCATTTTTTATATTTTATTTAGATTCAGTTTTAAATTTAACTAAGAAATAAAAATTTTCATGATAGCATCGATTTTTATAAATTTTTAAAATTTTTTTTTTCTCATAAAACACATCAAACACATGCGTGTTATATTTACATTGAATGAATTTTCAAAAAATATACTACAAATATTCTTATATAATATTTTTGATTTCAATTAGTAATAAAATTGTACATAAAACTCAAAAATTTCAGGACGATATTGTCGTTGGAAGTACTTTTAAAAAATTTATTTATCCTTCACATCACATATTTCCTAGGAAAAAAATTAAAAAATTTTTTCCCGAGATACGGGTCTTCTTATTTTATGAAAGGAGCTCATAAAAAAAATTTCAGCCAAATCGGAGGTGATGAGGTCAAAAAGGTGTCCGGTTTGTAGAAGAATGACCCATATACAAAAGAAATCTTTTTCTCGGCGTGTCCATTTCATTTGGTGTACTCTCTTAAGAGAATTTACATATGTCACTGAAACTGTAATGCCAAATCAGGAGAAGTATGCTTCAAGATATTTAACGCGGGACCTTTTAAATCTCTTACAAGAGTACCATTAAAGCAGCTATCAAGAGGAGTCAAATGCTCAGTCGGAAGTTGAACAGCCATAGGCTAACGTCTGGGCAGAAACCTACAAACTAATTTTTTCTTTTACACGTGTCAAAAGGTCTGCAGTAAAGAATATCAGTGTTGCAGTGTTGAAGGGAAGAAAAGTTCGTATTAATGCAATTCGCGACTCGTTTGTTTACTGACTTAGATTAATCGGAATATATGTTATATTATATTTCTTTTAAGAGAGTGTAGTTCAGAATTAGTGTGAGCATACACAGATTCAAACAAGTTCAGCCCTCTGTATTTGATGTACTCTGGCACACTCTCAACTCTTAAGACTTCGTACGTATTTGCATTTCTGACACATAATAGAACTTTTATTAAACAACTCAATATAGTATTTTAATATGTTTAAAGTTTATTAATGGTGGATGGAGTAGCATTGCACTAACAAATATAAAATAGAGTTAGATTTAAGTATTTTGCATTGTCTTCCTATTCTATATCCCCCTTATTTATTTTTGTTGGATTTTGATTCAAAGTCTTGTAATTCTAATGTTTCACCTTTGAAAGTCTCTCATTATCTTATTGGTATGAAATCATAATTTCCTTACAACAGAATAAGCCTTTTTTTTCAGCATACATAATGCAGATGTAGTCAGAAAAAAGAAAATTGATTTCGTTGAGACAAGGACAGTTCAAGGAAACAAAGGGGAACAAAGAGAGACACACGCTTAGTTTTCTCTGTAGATGAAACGTGATTTTGGACTTTGCTCAAAAACTGTCCGTTTGACAGAAAGAAACCAAAAAATTTTCTCATTTGAACTGGAATTATAATTTTCTAATTTGACAATCGGCATATTATACCACATTTTAACAAACAAGAGCTGGAAGAGCTTTTTTATGGTTTATGGTTTTTTTGAAAATAATATCTTTTTTATTATTTTTTGAACCTGGTCACACCATTTTCTCTACTATTTTACTTATATTAGGCAGCGAACCTAATAGAAATCTCTAGATTTCTCAGAGAAACAAGGGCGTTATCCAGGTTATAGAAAAATTGTCATTACTGCACACTACCAGATTTGCGGGAAGACACCTAGAGAAAGTATGCATTGACGATATCTTTGATTCTTGTTATTACTGGGAATGGAAGATTTACCAAACACATATTATTAATTCCATCTAATACAAGGAAGTGCATTCTGTACAATCTGTTGTGACGTATTGTCTGCATTCATGGCAATATACATGGCCAAAGTTAATTCCAAAACCGATTATAAAGAAAATGTTAAAACGGTTTGACAAATTAAATAATTTTCAATTATATATTTTGGTTAGTTTGATACAATTTAATATCGCATAAAATATGTAGCACCTTAAAGCGTAACAATTTAGTTGGTTTACCCCGCATATCATGATAGCAAAGTAAATTCTGAGCTTATATAATTTATATCTTAAGTATAAAATGAAAATTCAATATATTCTAAATAAATACTTAATCTCAACTCATATTCACACATAAAATACTCACTAATCCTTATCACCTGGTAAGCAGTGTCTTTGTTGAACTTACTATGTACTGTTCTGTGGTAGTATTAAGTTCACATGTAGGGCATACATAGTTCAATAAATAAACTAAAATCTGCTTAGAAATATAATGTAATAAAACTTGTCAACACACATCCTTATTTAATATCCTTTTAGCTTCAAGCATGCCCGAAATTGTCACATAATATTATCGCAAACATGATTGTGTCATAAACGTCACAACTTTTGCACTGACGAATTTGCATATTGCAACTTGGTAAACGTCTTCTGTAAGTAAGGAAAACTTTTAACTTCCCAACTTAAACTTAAGTGGCTTTCAATAGTTAATTTAAGACTTGATGAACTTAATGTTCAAAAATATTCTCCTTCTTAATTGTTTTCCGAAAAGCTAATTTCGAACTTATTTATTAACACACTCCAGCAACTTGCTTGGCCCTCTCTGACTTGCAAAGGATATTATGTACTTCATTCAAAGCTGCAGTGTATTGAGGTCTGCCTATTCGTATTGATGCTTGAAGATAAATTTGCAATTAAATCTTCAAAGGATGCCACTTGGTCGTTTGCTTGTCGGTTACTTTTATTACATGACCACAAGGGGAGATATTCAAGTACTTTGATCCACAGCCTGGAAACGTGCAATATTAAAATTAGTTTAAATATTTTCAATAAATTCCCGTGCTGACAATTAATTTCAGTTCATTTGAAACTAGTTGAGGAATATTGTTCCCATAAAAGTTGTTATCCTTATCTGTGTCGAAAATGAAACAATTATTTGATATGTGTATAGTTTAGGTGTAAGAAACCTATTTCAAAAAAGATGAAATTTTTTGTATTTGGCAAAAAAATTTATTAATATTTTTGCAAAAATGGTCCAGAAAAAAAAGAACCTTATAATATGAAATATACAATAAAAAAAGCAATTAAATTTTCTATTACTCCAAACCTATTAAATAATAACAAACCAAAGAAACATACTTCAAGTTCTAGGTGCACCAAAACTGAAACTTGTTTCCAAATTTATCGCTTAACGACTATCTGTCAAACGACTTTTACACGTGCCTTTCTGAACCCATTTTCACCATCATCACTTTCAGCGTCTTCCTCACACACTAGCATCACACGCTTGTCACGACGGTAGTGTGTTTCTGATTGCGGTTTTCAGTCAGTACAGCATATGCTACTACCATCGAATCTTCATAATAAGATCATGAATATGTATAATGCGTAGAATACCATCAACTTGGTCCACATATTTTCCTAAAAGTTTTAAAGCTTGAAATCAGCGAGTTTCTTAACTCAGTATATCAACTTGATATCAGTTTCGTATAACTGCTGTTTCTTTATTGTTTTGTTATTTAATATATTAAATAAAATATTCCGATATATCATGAAAAAACATGACATGTATAATACCCTCTTTTTCGCAAGTGAAGTTGACTTTATATAAAAATATGTTCAACAAAATTTGAACATTCCAGAAATATACATTTTTTCCATAAAGTTTCTCTATAAATTTTTTGTGCGAAATGTATGCATGAAAAAAGAAAGCATTCTTAAGTTTATTTTTAAAATAATCTCTTCTCTAATCTAAACATATTTCCCAACGATACTACAGATATGGAGACTATATAGTGGTGCCGAGATATTCAAAATACACGAAATTGGCTAATGAAGTGATGATTCATTCGACGGTGAGTCAGTATTGCTGTCTGAGATGAGTTTTTAAATTTGGGAACAAGACACAGTCGCTGAGGGACAGATCTAGCATAGGAGATTTATTATCTATTAGTTCGAAAGCAACTTTAATTTACGGTCACACGACTGACCAACGGTGAAATGCCGTTGCAACCGCTTTATTTGGAAGACCAGATCATTTGCATCCATCAATATCAAGAATATTTAAACTCTTTTTATTTAACTTGATTCAATACTATTCTTGTCTTTCAAAAGAAAAAACAACTTCAACGTTTGGATCAACTTTCTTCTATGAAATTTTTAAAGAATCAATAATGTTGGGAATATTGGGAAAGTTAATACCTAGGAATAACGAAAGGAGCTGTTTCAAAAGCACCTTCTGTACGCCGGTAAAAATGTATTAGAAATGGTCTAATAATAAATTTACTATGTACGATTGATAAAAACACAATCACTTAATTAACAAAGTAAACATAGTTTATTAATGTGAATTTATGTGTGATTATCAAAATCTGTAATTCAGTATATTTTATTTTCCAACAAAATTGTTCACATTTTGGTCCCGTAAAATTTAATCAAAATTATGACGTTGCAAAAATTTTGGTGAAACTATAAATAAATTGAACTGAAATTCATTGGTTAAATCCAGATTGTAAAAATGTCAAAGGAAATTCCAAAAATGCGTTTGCCGAAAAAAGTAAGTGATAATACTAAACTAAATACTACTAAGACTTAAATCTTAAATTCGCAATACATAGAGCTTCTCAGATGGCTTCATATTGGTAAATTCCAAGAAAACTGAAATGGCGAATATTTATGCAACTATTAGTACCTCTGAAACCCCAAAGAAGGACAATGATGCTAGCTCATCAGTTCAATCGCATAAGAATATCTGTGGTGATGGTATAAATACGTGTTCGTCCATTTATGAATGTGATGAGGAAAGTGATGTCCTAGACAAAATGATAATATCTAAATTGACAGATTTTCAAAATCAGACCATATATTTAATGGAACTTTTAAAAAAATTAGAAAATGGAAAACGGAGTATAGAAGCAATGCAACGCAATGCATGTAACATGTAAGTCTTGTGTCCTGTGAGAAAGAAAACCACCGAAAAGACAAGTTGTATAATAATCGTCTCGAATTCACTGAGTGAAATAAGGAAGAAATCATAGTAAAAGACATTATGGGTAAAAGTTACGTAAGCAACTATATTTACTTTCCTTAATTATACTTTAGACTTCAGAAGAAGCATGGTTTTTATCAAAAGAGGTACAAGAACTTGAAGTTGGACAGAAGAGAGACATTTGATTCTTTAAGTAATAACAGACAAATACATTTGAAGGCTTATTTGTGATGACTGTAAGTAAGGCACAAAATATAGGAACCTCTAATGGACTTAGTCATAGTTACCTGTTTGTTTTGTTTTTGGAAATATGACATTATTGTCATTGCCATGAATTGGCAATCACCTATTTAGTGGTCAATTATTTTTATTTGGCGTGTGCGTCTTTTTGGGCAATTTGAAATGTCAGTATAATTTCGTTTATTTCCGAATAAATTATCAATTGAACAATTTTGATTTAAATTTAGTTTTTGATTTTACTCCATTTTTTTTTTTTACTATTATAAAGGAAGATATACTTTGGGCAGCTAACTTTACTAGCTAATGAAATTTTTCTATGCACTTTTTACTATTAGACATCCTATTTGCTAAATTACAATACGTCCAGAAAGTATCTGGAATTTATAATTTAGAAAACGCGCATTAATCTCATTACCTCAACTTTTTTCTGTTAATTGGTGATATTGTGCTATGTTAATAAGTGCTATTTGAGTGCGATCTGTTACACATTATTTTTACATCAACAGTGTTTATAATTATACTTTTGAGAGTGCTATGATGTTGACTCTGACACGATTTATTAGTTTTAGTCTCGTTTTTAAAGCATCATTCTGAGGATAGTTAGCTAGTTTGTATAAAGTACTCCTAAAGCTGCGTATAACTATTATTTCTAAAGCTTTTTGTTAAGTAAGGATATGAAGAATCTTAAAAAATTATATCGTTGGCGGCCTGTTTTCGATGGGTCAAATTGAACCGCTTTCAGTACTTGTTCTCTTTTGTAGAATTAAAGGTTTCTGATACTTTTTAAGTAATATACAATACTTTCATAGTATATTTTATATTGGTAGTTGGTAAATGCATGTTGCTTGCATGTTTTTGTTTAAATATCCTCCCATCATATTCTACAATAATATTAAATAATATTCATTGCTTGAAATATTAAATTTTCTATTGTCAATTATATGGGAGTAAATAATTTTGCCAACACTAACAATTTTATTTTATCATAAAAAATTAAGAAGTTCATGTCCTAAGATATTTGTGTCTATTTCGAATAGAAAAATAAGATTTTTTTTATTTTCATTCAAGTTCACTTGTGTTTTGGATATAGCTATTTTATAGCGAAGACTGTGAGGTCGCTAGAACCTTATGGTCTAGGTTGGACAAAACTAAAACGAAAAGCCTTTTAGGCTTCAGCAAACCTGCAGTTCATGTGCTTACTGGAGTACTAACGGGGCACTGTGCCATTGCACCTATACTTCAACGGTGGCGAGTTCCAACAAGTGGATTGTGCAGGAGTTGCCAAGATGAAGAGGAGGTAGAATCTATCAACTCCTTCCTGTGTCTCTGTCCAGGACTTCAGACAAGGCGACTACAATGTCTTGATGATCGCTTTTTCACTGGCTTGAAAGAGTTAACGAAAGCAAACTTATCGGATCTTATCAAATTCATCTGGAAAACCAAATAGTTTAACAAGGATTACAAGGATATGCCTCCGGGTGGAAGTACTGACAGCTGCCAGCACGCGCCGTCCGAACCTAACCTGACCTACTTATGAGTGACTTATGAGTTAATTCCAATCAATAACGCAGCAAGAACAATTTATAAAATTCTAAGTTTGAATAACGCATCTGAAGCAAGTCAAATGTATCTAGGTTAATATCTGTCTATGTTTAGCCTACCCTGTGACAGTTTCTGCAATGCGTGTCTACCAGTTATCGAATTAAGGACATCAAAATACCTTCTGTGTTTATGTCCGCGTCTCTGGGGGCCCCCTTGTACAAAACCCTCAACGACATCAAAATACCTTCAGTGTTTATGTTCACGTCTCTGGGGGCCCCCTTGTACAAAACACTCGACGATATCTCTAGCTTTAGCATTGGTCTGATTCTTGCCTATATAATTGCTTTTGGTTGGTTCTAGCTTCATCTCTTCTTCACCGCCCATTATAACGAGGATTTGTGGATTTAAAACGGCTTTCTTAGTTAATTGAGGAGGATTCGGTCCTCGCTCCACCACAACTAACTTTCTAACAAAATAACGCATGTTGGCTTTCCGTGCAAAGCCGAATCGGGTCCAATTCCCGACATCCGAATAATTATGTATATACCGATGATATTTGGTTTTAAAGACCAAATAATAACTAAACAATTCGCGGTGTATGGCGATGGATTAATTTTAAAAATTGAAATATTTTTGGTTTTGAAAATTTCACCTTATTTTGTCATATACTAATATCCATGAATCCTTCAAATTACTTTATATATATGTGTGTGTACTTTTTCAATACCTTTGTGGGATAACATTTCTGTGACAATTTTTTGTAGTTCCAAATTTTTAAATTATTTCCGTTATTTGTTTGATAAGTTGTACAATTTTTCCATAGAATTTTTTTTTTATTGGGGAAAAATAAAAAAATTTATTTAATTTTGTGCTATTGTAGTTCTTGTTGATCTATTATTGTGTTGTTCAACTTGCTGTTGGTGTTGTTGTTGCTGTGGATGTGGATGTGGGTGTTGTAGTTGTTACCTTTTCAATTTCCTTTCAATTTCATCAATAACTTAAAATTTTAGTCACACTGTCGCCTCAAGTGATTTATTGCCGCTCAAATCTTTAACTTCAACTTTTTCGGTTGTGGATAGATGCGGACATATAGCCGCACATACCTCAACAGCGCGCCAATATATGTTCGTAGGTCTGTCCGGCTGTCTGTTGTCTGTTGTCTGTGTTCGCATGTATAAGTTTGGCCTTAAAAAGACATTCCGGTATTATTATGCTGTCATGGTTGGCGAAAAAATGGTCGAAATTGAAAAATATTTTCACAAACTTTTGGAAAATTTTTTTCGTTCACATTTTGTTTTTCCCTTCTTTTTCTTTATTTGCTGTTTTGATCTTTTTTCAATTTTTATTGTGACAATGAGGCAAAATAAAAACTTTAAGTTTTTCAACAATTCACAAAGCAAAAATATTATATATAAAAATAAATATATAATTATATATATAGATATTCGTATAATATGGAAAATAAAAAGCAAAAATATCGAAAAATAAATTTGAAAAAGTTTTGTTGTTGAAAAGTTTTGTTTCGTATTGTTGTTGCTGTTATTGTTGTTGTTGTTGTTTACACCCCAAAGTGTTATGTGTCTGCCTTTGTGCTTACATGTATGCGTGTGATTGAGAATTTCCTTGATAATGCGTCTTGCTTACATGTGTCGTGTGAATCTGTGTGTGTGTGTGTGAGTATGTGTGTGTGGCTATGCTTGTGGGTAGTGGGGACAAATTACAAATTGATTACACTATCAACAAATGTGTTAATATGCAACTGTCATGGTTTGGTGGCTGGAGTTGTGTGTGACAGTGTGAGAGTGTGAGAGTGTGACTGCTAATATGTCTAGAAGTGCTCTCTACAGTTCAATGTAGCAGGTATTTGTTGAATGTTGAATGTTGAATGTGGGTGTGGATGTGGTGAAAAAGACGACAATTTAGTTTGGTAAATATATTAAACCAGAAATTATGTGGTGATTGTTAAACTTGCTTAAACAAATAAATTGAGTTAATATACGGAATGTTAACAAAAACTTATTTAATCAGTGAAATATTTCCAATACATATTTAATATATATTACTCTAACATATAGAGGTTTTTTCGAACAGTAGTGAAACACAATAACAAAAATTTTATTTTTTATATTATTTTAAATCATTGAATTTTTGGCTGATCATACAGCTGTTTCGAGTATTGCCAAATACCCATCATCAGTGGTCTTGGAAATAATTCCTGTATTTACTTATTCGTAAATAATTATTTTTTGAGACTGCAAGTACCAGGAATCGAACTCGGGTCCTGCCAAATGTGAAGCTCAGAATCAGCGCGCCTTAACCAACTGATCCAAAGCCGTACTTGACTTTTTTGTTCACATATTTTTCTCTAACTACATATGTTAGATAGGTTAGATAGGTTAGTAGTTTAAGTTAAGCAGATGATCCTAGGTATCTACTTAGGCCTATTAGCCCATTGTGTTACCGTACAAGAATATATATGTATCAAATAGAAGCGACAATATTTTATTGTCAGTTATGCTGGCAAAAAAAAAGGGAGTTTTTATGTCTTCATTCAATATATATAAGTGTATGCACTCACGATCTTTAATATATATTTTTGCATAAGTGGTAACCATTTGTCATAAGCACTTTTTCAATTCAGTTTGGGCCTCTTGAAAAATATCACATCTTTATCAAAGAAAATCATTGTCCCCGTGCAATAACACATTGGTTTTGAAGACCCTAGTATAACACATTGACAACTCCACTAACAAAAAATCCTTAAAAATTTTAAAAAGTGACAGCTTTCAATTATAGCTGTCAAAATTTGATGACATTTGAACGATCAGATTATAAGTTACTTAACCCCGCCCTAACAATCCTCAAATCCACTTCTGGATTCTCAGGAAGATATGCTGATTTAAGGTCCGTCATCAACTAAAAGACAAATAAATGATATGATTTCTAAGTCTAGTGAAAGCCTAGTGTGGGTTAGTGATAAGCCCCCCAGCCATTAGAGTAAAAGTGCGTAATAGCACTAACTCAAGAACAAGAAGAAGAAGAATTGTTTTGGTCATGCAACTTATTATTTTTTCAAAATAATAGACTCAAATCAATTCCATATATTAATTTATTATCGCTTTTTGATATGAAAATATACCGTGACAGAGATTATTAAGTGCTACCCGGTCTTCGCTACAATGAGAAAAATGGTAAAGTAGTTTCAAAGTCGGTTTTGTTTTTTTTTAAGAACAATAACTTATAATTCGAGCGTTAATTTTTAGTTTATTTCTAAACGTATTTAGTTGAAATAGTATTTATTAACTTTTCACAAAGTTGCACAATAATACTTTTACTAATTTATTTACTAAATTGTTTAGTTACTAAGAGTTGCGTTGACGTTGGGGCGACGCGATGAATACTGATCATGATAATGATAAGTATTCATCGACTATGTGCGCTCCTTAAGTACTCATTTCAAACGAGAGTTTCAAGTGCGTGTTCCTTAAGAAGTCGAGGATTTTTCCTATTGCCACAGCACTCCCTCCTACCGGTTGAGTTTGAACAACGGTGCGATACGAAAATCGAATACAGGTTGTAGCTACTTGCGATAGTCACACAACTTGGTTGAAAAACACACTGATCGGAATGAACGTGTAACCTTCAAAAAGTCAGTTGATGGTTCAGGAAACTTCTTCTCG